ATAGCGACAAGCCTGTATTATGAGAGCCGAGCGTTTAGGATAATAAATTGTATAGGAACTGCTGTTCCAATGTAACGGATGTTATTGCGCTATTACCACGAGGAAATTCAGCTGACGAAACAGGAAGATACGCTGCTTAAAGTTATTGGAGAGTCATCCACTTTGATGCATAGAAAGCTATTGGACGTTTAGTGAAAATCTTCAAATATTATTATTGCGACGGTTACATTATCATTTCATGGTCTATGTTTACCTTACTTTTAACGTAGCGTTGTAGAAATCTGATTCCGCTTAAAAGACTATGCTCGTGAATTTCTTTGAAATTCCTCTGTCGGGTAGCTAATAGTTCCAATATTTGAGATATTTAGAGAACGTAAAGCTGTATATATTTTAAATATCTCGGGATGTAGACATTTAGAACGCATTCATGGTAAAAGTGGGACATCCTATATGTAGAAGCCTGACTCGAGATCCTCTTGTGGATAGGGTTGCTCCAATTACTTCAAACAGAATATCTGCTTCAACTATTAACAGAATATTTACAGAAGAGAATTACGGTTTGTAAGTAAGCGTACAAAAGAGAACAAATTAGACGAGCAGACTTGAAAGTGAAATTAAAGAAGAAACACGTCCTACGTGGAACGGTTCCGGTTGACTACAGTCCGATATCAAGAAAGTTTATGAATGTCGATAAAGCTAAGAGAATTCACCGTGAACACGAGATGCTAATTAGAAAGTTTCACAATGTAGATGCTCATTGGGACAGAATCCCGGTGAAAGGGGATCTACCTTACCGACAAAGGACGCAAAAGAAGTTAATAAAAAAAAAAAAAAAAAAGGACCAACGTTAAAAATATAGAATACGTTTGTTATCGGAATCGCAAACCGAAGTGCAATCACGAACAGACGACTTCACGATGATTTCGAGTTCCTCGGATTTCAAAAAAAAGAAAGAAAGGAAGAGGAAAAAAAGAAACGAGATGTAGCTCGAAATTCCGAGGAAGCATTTGTAATATCGCAATAACTGTCGGACCACTCGATACGAATATATCACGAGACAGCAGAATAACCAGTTGACCCTTTATTTAGGAAAACTTAGCGAAAAATTCCAATCTCTTAAATTCCTTGCTTTTTCAAGGATATTCAAGGCGAGACACGGTTTTTAGAAACGAAAAGATCATTCGCGATTTTTAGGGGAAAATTGTCGCGCAGGTTCATCCACAGGCACGGAGCAATTAATGTACAAAAGAACAAACAGATGGGGTTAAAACACACTCGGCCCAAACATCATGATACAACCGGACTGTATATTCCATATATACATATATTTAAAAGGGGAAAAAAGAAAGAAAGAGACAGTGTTGACTACGAAGATCATATGGTTAAAACGAACAGTAAAAAAAGAAAAAAAAAAGAAAAAGAAGGAAAAAGAAGAAATATACATACGTACACGTAGTTCGTGAAATTGTTGACTCGATGTCAAACCCAATTTACAAAAACGTTAAAATAATCGTAGGCATCATAATAGTAACATACGATCGTGCATATACAAAATGAATTAAATAATTGTCTGACAAAAGGAAAAGTAAGGTTTAACGAATCCAGTGATATTATACTTCATATGTTATGACGAGCATACTTTGCTACACTTTTTTTGTAAATATCTAATAACAAAAATCAATACATACATACGTACATAAATACATGTATACATACATACATATATATATATATAT